ACATTCTCCTAATAACAAACACAAGTCAACTGGCAACACTCTCTCACTACAGCACACACAGTCCCTCACCTGGTTCCTGGGCTGGGTCTGAAGAGCTCGCAACAGCTCCAGTTTGTTCATGTCTGTCTGCTCGTCTCTCACTTCAGCTCTGGCCTCCTCCAACAGACGCAGCACCTCACGAATGCTCGGCCGGTCTTCAGGGAACTCCAGACACCCCTCGATCATCTGGAGGAGAGGATGCTTCTCGCGTAGCTGCCTGTAGATCATCCTCATGTACTCTCTCTCGTCGCTCTAGCTCAGTTCGACCAACTATTCTTCGTCGTTCGTCACGATAGTTGGGAGCTAGCAAGTCGCAGGGGAAGGTTTGGCAGAGTGTGAAAATGGCCACGACACCAAAAGAGAAGATGTCGATGCTTGCATCGTACTTTGACATTTTGTCTTTCTCTTCCTCATTTTCCTCCTCAAGTTTGCTTTCCATGGCCTCTGGAGGCATGTAAATTATGGCCCCAGGTCCCTTTGTCATGGTGGCTGCAACTCGCATACGAGGCACGATACGAGCCACGCCCAGGTCCGCTATCTCGGCTACCATCCCCGAGTTCAGGAGAACGTTTCTGGCCGACAAGTCGCGGTGGATGATGGGCGGCGATCGCTCGTGGAGGTAGGTCAGGCCGCACGCCACGTTGTGCAGGATCGAACACTTTAGGCTCGGCGGGAAGAAGGGCTTGGGCGCGTCGGGCGGGGGAGGGGTGTCGGTTTCTGGGTCCAGCAAGTCGTGAAGGCTCGTCAGCAGTCGCTCCATGACGAGGGCCGGCAGTCGCGAGCCGGGCAGGAAATACAAGCCAAGAAACTGGACGATGTTCGGGTGGCGGAGGGTGCTCATCAGCTGGCATTCCTTCGCGAACTGGGCGGCCGACTTGAGGATCTCGGCCGCGGGGATCACGGAGCGGTCCAGGAAGACTTCGTGGATCCTTTTGGCGGCGCAGACGGCTCCAGGCACGGCCACCTCCTCCACGCTGCCGTAGGCTCCTGCGCCGATTCTGACGCCAGTGAGCCTTACATTGGAGAGAAGAAACTGCCGCAGCTCTGGGTTGTCGCGAAGCAACTCCGCCATTGCTCAAACTATTCTGGGTGGGGTCGTTTCCCTTGAGATGATGCATGCATATTTTGCAGTTGTGAATGTCATTTCGTGTAATTATTCACTGAAGGTAATGCAGTACATATCAACATGGAAAGGGAATAAAAGATGCTAGACAGCCATTTCCATGTGTATCTTGGGGTGGGGATGGTAGTCATGGAGAATGATGTCATCGTAAACAAACTTGTCCATGTCGGAGACCTGTCTTCTCAGTTCCAGTTCGGAATGGTCTCGGGCTATTATACCACACAAATTCAATCGAGTCTGTTTAGCAAGTTTTGGTATGTTCAATTATACAGTGGAACCCTCTAATCCTGACACTGATAGGGAGAAGAAAGTAGGTGTCCTTATTTCAGGGGTTTATTGCATGCAAAAACTGTTACTGTAAGTGTCTATTTTCAGGGGTGTCCTTAGAGATGGAGGAATAAGGTTACTGGCACGCAGACAACGTGTGATAACCACACACTGTACTATTGAAGGGTCAAGTCTCCGCGCTGGAGAGGAGTTATATATGATTGATGTCATTGGTGGATGAAGGGGCGTGTGCTAACCTTGTGGTTGCAGACTGTGAGCTATCATGATATGTCAGTAGAGAGTAGCATGACGATGGTGAATGGAACTCCAGGACCTGCTCGGGAAGGAGGAGGTAATGAGATTAGTGGGTTGTGGGGAAACTTGAGCGATTATTCCACCTACTTTTGTGCAAAGTGAGTGGTTTGGTTTGCAACACATTCTTTTGACTAAAACTACAGTAACTTTTCTCACAATGGGAGTACTACATTTCATACTACTGAGTGCAACTGTTGAACGTTGCAGTCAAAATGGGGACAAACATTCAGACCTTTCTTGCCACTACATACAGTTAGCAACTACAGCAAATCCCTGAATAAAGGGACATCAAAAATTGTCAGAGGTGCTTGAGGGAAATACAAGTATAAGCCAATATCCTCTGGAGGGCTAGAGGTTCTCTACTGAGAGGATGAGTCATGTTGCATTATGGTGTGCATCCACTGCAATGAAAAGCACTAAACGTGCACACCCTCGGCGAACTGCGCATGTGCGGTACCACTAATTGATGGGCTGGGCTTTTTATGCCTTTACTCGTGGTATCCCGCTAGTAGCTCGCGGAGAGTCTGGCACGGGCTAGCTACAGTAGTAAATAGCATGCGGGAGTCGATACATGCCCTTCTTTGTGACTTGTTGTGCCTTCAAGAGACACAGAGCGAACGGACGCGGTCGAGGTAAGCCTGTGCTAATTTACAATTGGCTTGTTCACTTGGTTTTCACGCCATAACTTAAAAACACAGTAGTTTTTACGAAAATCGCCTTTTTAAAAATCAACCCAGTGTAGCACTGAACCCGATCATATCGGTATTTACCTGATTTCGTGCGCGCGGTGGCAGAAAACGTGGTAACAGACAGACGGACTGACGGACTGACACACTTACGGGACAACTACGTAACCCTCGCTGCGCATGCGCGCCGAGGGTTAATAACTGAGAGGGGAAGTGCTGGAGTACCATGTCTGCTGATGTCTGGTACAGTTGGCATGACAACTCTCCATTACAGACGTAGAACTGGACAAAGGCATGGCAGGGAGGCAGGGCCATCTTTGGTTGGTCTAGGGAGAGGGGACTAATATGTACATCACATTACCATTATGTTCGGTTATGTAACTTAGGGCATGTGTGTGCCAGTTTTTTTCGGTTCTGTGTAGTTGTCGTGTGTGTCACGAGGTGTTGGTAGAGACAGTGAGTGGCTGCCGTGTGTCTGTAGACTGTGAATGTCCAGTCTGTGTGGTGTGGGTCCATGTATTGGGCCGATCTTGGAATAAATATAGCCAGAATAAATATATCCAAGGATTTACACTTCATTTCCTCTGGTATGGGGGCGTTGTACAGGTGTATTTGCACTTCATTAACCACTTGTGTGGCAATGTTGTTATAGCTGCAATCTCATGGGACATCATTCTTTCTTCCATAAACCCATGGCGCCACATTGGTATTTCTACAACTAGTGGTAACTAATGGAGTGTTGAGAGCCTTAGTGGGTGTTTTACATCAAATAATGTCTACCATTGGGACTAGTTCGCACACTTCTATTAGCTATGGCATGGGGCTATTTTTATTGTGTACATGCTTTAACAACATTGCCACTGGACCAAGATCCCCTGTGCCACCAGTATGGAATAGAGACATCAATCATACACTGAAACCCGTACACTGGACCCAGATCCCCTGTGCCACCAGTATGGAATACAGACATCAATCATACACTGAAACCCGTACACTGGACCCAGATCCCCTGTACCACCAGTATGGAATAGAGACATCAATCATACACTGAAACCCGTACACAGGACCCAGATCTCCTGCACCACCAGTATGGAATAGAGACATCAATCATACACTGAAACCCATACACTGGAACCAGATCCCCTGTACCACCAGTATGGAATAGAGACATCAATCATACACATACTAACATTACTTCATCAGTACCAGTGCATTATTCATTATGCATGTAGAAATGAAAAGCACTAAAGTGCAAACCCTCGGCGAACTGCGCATGCGCGGTACCGCTAAATTGATGGGCTGGGCTATTTGTAGTATGCGTTTACTCGTGTCTCCCGCTAGTAGCTCGCGGAGATATGGCAAGCGAAGTGTAACAAAACTAAATGGCACGTTCAAGACGCGTAAACGTACGTTGGAGACACATACGTACGTCTAAAACGTACGTTCATACGCAGGGGCGGATGCAGAAAATAGCAACGGGTAGTTCGAATCGGCGAGCTGGGAAGTCACGCCCCTAGCTCAGCGCGCACACGCGCAGTCCTTTGATTACATTCAAGCGTCCACACGCAGTAAGGGAACACGATAAACTGCGCGCTCGTGCAGCAAATGGAGCATGTTGGAGAACATGACCGTGCCTCGTGTATGCCGTGGCTCGCTCGCGCGCACAAAGGAGCCGCCGCTGCTTGCGCGGCGGATACGTGAGTATATATACGTTACGTGGGCAAAGAGGAGGGGGCGTGATGCACCCGGCCTGGCAAAAAGGGTGGTTCGTTCGAACTCAACGAACAAGCCTAGATCCGCCACTGATACGGACGGACGTATGGCAAGCGAAGTGCAACAAAACTAAATGGCACGTTCAAGACACGTATATAAACATACGTTGGAGAGACATACGTCCGTCCGTTGGAGACACATACGTACGTCTAAAACGTACGTTCATACGGACGGACGGACGTTTCAAACGTACGTTCATACGGACGTAGGTACTTTTCAAACGTACGTTCGAGACGCGTTCATCATACGTACGTCTGTGGGTCAGTCACGTGCTAAACATCACGCCGTATGTGGCTATCATGTGAGAGAGTATCATAAGCTCAGTATATACATGGCTGAGGCATACGGGGTCAGTTTGTTTTTTGATGAAATTCGTCACTTGATTGAAGAAGCTGACAATATTATGGTTTAGCTAATCGTAACTACACCGAGTATGTAGTGGAACGTTTTGAGTACACGATAACTGTGTGCTCTGATTTTTGCGATCACCTACGCGGAGTTCCGGGATTGGATGACTATTTTCGCTCTGGACTATCGTGAGCTTCTTTCACGCTATTAGCTTCAGAGTAACAAAATGACACAGGCCTCCTCCTTCCTTCGAAGTAGCATATCACTTCACGAGCCATACTCTATACACTCTCACAACTGCGCCGAACACTCGCTGTACGATAATGCGCATGCGCATAACGGATACGCGTATGGATCCGGATATGGACTGGACGTACACGTACGTACCATCAGTATGAACGTACGTTTGAAACGTACGTCCGTCCGTACGAACGTACGTTTTAGACGTACGTATGCGTATGAACGTACTTTTTAGACGTACGTATGTGTCTCCAACGTACGTTTACGCGTCTTGAACGTGCCATTTAGTTTTGTTACACTTCGCTTGCCATACGGTCGAGGTAAGCCTGTGGTAATTAGCATATTGGCTTGCTCACTTGCTTTTCACGCCATAACTCTTGAGCGGGGTACTTTTACGAAAATCGCCATTTATAAAATGAAGCCAGTGTAGCGCTGAACCTGTTGGTGTCGCTTTTTGGCCGGTTTGTTGCGCGTGGTGGCAGAAAACGTGGTAACAGACACACACACAGACAGACAGACGGACAGACGGACAGACAGACAGACACACACAGCCCATCAATTAGCAGTACCGCGCATGCGCAGTTCGCCGAGGGTTTGCACTTTAGTCCTTTTCATTTACCTTTGTTCCCGAGTCTCTCCGCTGGAGGGCCTTCTGGAAGTCAGCCACTAGAGCCTCACTTGATCGCAGCTGTTCTTCCTGCAGTCAAGAGGAACTCTAGTCACAAAACATGACACATCCTGCAGTTATCACTATTCACCTTCTGTCTCAGTTGCTGCTGAGTCTCAGCTAACTCTCTCTCCTTCCTTGTTAGCAATGTCGCCTTCTCTCTTAGCTCCCTGCCCTTGGCCTGCACTAACTCAGTCTCCTGCAGTCAGGAGGACCTCGATACACTTCATTAGTTCCACACAGACTTGACTAACTCTCTGTCTCAGTTCTTGATTCTGTCTCTGTGAGCTGATCAGCTGTTGTCTGACTGTCCGTTTCTCTCTCTCGCTGGATTCTAGTTGTTGCTGGAGCTCAGCGTTCTCCTTTAGTAGCAAACCCTTCATTTGAATATTATATGACTGAATAAAAGGTCCCTCACCTGGTTCTTGGATTGTAGTTGTTGCACGACAATCTGTTTCTCCCTTTCACTGGACTGTAGCAGTTCTTCCTGCAAAATATAGAGAGCACGAGTTTAAAAATTGGCACACATCCTAATAACAAACACAAGTCAAGTGGCAACACTCTCTCACTACAGAACACACAGTTCCTCATCTGGTTCCTGGGCTGGGTCTGAAGAGCTCGCAACAGCTCCAGTTTGTTCATGTCTGTCTGCTCGTCTCTCACTTCAGCTCTGGCCTCCTCCAACAGACGCAGCACCTCACGAATGCTCGGCCGGTCTTCAGGGAACTCCAGACACCCCTCGATCATCTGGAGGAGAGGATGCTTGTCGCGTAGCTGGCTGTAGATCATCCTCATGTACTCCTCTCGTCGCTCTAGCTCAGTTCTAGCTTTATGCTGTCGACCTTCGCGATAGGTGGGAGCTAGCAAGTCGCAGGGAAAGGTTTGGCAGAGTGTAAAAATGGCCACGACACCAAAAGAGAAGATGTCGATGCTTGCATCGTACTTTGACTTTTTGTCTTTATTTTCCTCCCCAGGTTTGCTTTCCATGACCTCTGGAGGCATGTAAATTATGGCCCCAGGTCCCTTTGTCATGGTGGCTGCAACTCGCATACGAGGCACGATACGAGCCACGCCCAGGTCCGCTATCTCGGCTACCATCCCCGAGTTCAGGAGAACGTTTCTGGCCGACAAGTCGCGGTGGATGATGGGCGGCGATCGCTCGTGGAGGTAGGTCAGGCCGCTCGCCACGTTGTGCAGGATCAAGCACTTTAGGCACGGTGGGAAGAAGGGCTTGGGCGCGTCGGGCGGGGGAGGGGTGTCGGTTTCTGGGTCCAGAAAGTCGTGAAGACTCGTCAGCATTCGCTCCATGACGAGGGCCGGCAGTCGCGAGCCGGGCAGGAAATACAAGCCAAGCAACTGGACGATGTTCGGGTGGCGGAGAGTGCTCATCAGCTGGCATTCCTTCGCGAAGTAGGCGGCCGACTTGAGGATCTCGGCCTCAGGGATCTCGGAGCGGTCCAGGAAGACTTCGTTGATCCTTTTGGCGGCGCAGACGGCTCCAGGCACGGCCACCTCCTCCAGGCTGCCGTAAGCTCCTGCGCCGATTCTGACGCCAGTGAGTCTTACATTGGAGAGAAGAAACTGCCGCAGCTCTGGGTTGTCGCGAAGCAACTCCGCCATTGCTCGTACCATTCAGGGTGGGGCCGTTCCCGTAGTTGTGAAGTCATTTCGTGTGGTGTCATTTATTATGAGGTGTATTTCCACTGTAATAACTCAGACATGTTGGTTGCCAGTGCATTCGAGCCTGGTAGGGATGCTACATATCACGCACACCAAGAGTTGATGGTCTAGTGGCTAAAGCTCTTGCAAGTGGAACAAGGTTTTCCTGCTACCTGGGTTCAAGCCTGTCAGCTAGTACTTTTTATTTTTTCAGCCTCACTGACTGGTGGGTATAAAGGCAAAATTTCAACTACTCCTCTCGGGTCACTCATGTGGCGCAATCAGTAGAAGTGGGGACTACCAGTATAAAGGTTCCGGTGATCGAGAGATCGATCCCGGGCTGGAAGCTGGTAGGTGGTCCAGAGCACTGGCTGGGAACAGCTCTGGTTCCTCCCCTTACCCACTCTCTGTTTGACAATACTGAGTGCCCCCGCTTCACTGGGTATGTTGGCCGCATGCCTGGTGGAGTGGCTTTTTTTCTTCTTTTTTATTCATTCTCGAAGTTGCACCAGTTAAATGTTAAAGCCGGATGATGTGTACAATAGAAACAGGTTGATTATGTAATGTATTGTCAAATGTCCTTCCTGATTACTATGTAGATGTTTGTCTCCATCCTACTGTACCATTGTTGCTAACGGCACCGCGACATCATCATCATCGTCAACGACCGGGGCAGGGGGAGGAGGAGGAGAGGGGTCGTCAAGACGATACTGTCCCTGCTGCTACTGTGAACTATTTGGAAACAATGGGGGTGAGAGGTTAACAATAGAGTATTGTTTACTACATTATGATTAAAAATTTGTATCATACAAGTGCTTCCCATTCTTGCAGACAATCCCCAACACGACAACAGTGAGACTGACTCTCGGCCACTGGATGAACTACTTGTCTTTATTGAGGGAGATGAGGAGGGAGAAGGGGGCGGAGTCTCGGCGATCTCCATGACTACCAACAACATCCCTAAGCCTGGGAAGAAAAAGAAAAAGACGAAAAAAATCCATGTAAGACAAATTTTGTTTCTTCCATTTGCTCGCTAATTACATACCTATCTATGGTTCCCTAGCAACCGTCACTCCCGGCGACAACAGAGGAGGAGAGTGGTGGCCACACCCACAAGTCACATGACGGGTCATTGGGTGTGTCAGTTTGTGAGGAGAGAGAAGATGATGACAGGTCGTCTGGCAAGAAAACTGGCCCAGCTAGCCACACCCACCAAGGTAAGACTACACCGTCACACTTGTTTCTATCTTTAGTAACATTTCTCAATTTAGCGCTTACTAGAAGAAATGCAACATAGATTATTCACACGTTTCATGTGAAATTAGAATCACGTAAGCATTACATCGCCCGATGTTCACACGTAATAAAGAGTATTGTACCCAATGTTTATACCCACATATTATGTGCCTCTGAGAGTGGGAGGGGGAGGGGTTAAAGGTCATTCCAATAAGCCACTCACACCATCTTCGTATCGCCAGACAACTGTACATCGTCTGCTGCTAATGTTCATGCCTAACTTATGGAAATGGCAAGATATGGCAAAAAAGTTCTGAACACTTATTTTGTCTTACTATTAAAAAGCCATCTCCTTATATGGTGTAGTAAGAATTTTAACCCTTTCCTCACTCCTTTTAAGATCTGCCATCAGAGGAGTTGTCTGATGACTATGATGATGAACTGGAGCAATTCAAAAAGTGAGTTATGGCCTCAAACTATAGTATATATTGTGTGAGGATCTCTGACATGTGAAGTAAGACTGCCCAATGAAAAAAGAGGTGCCAAAAATGGTTCATTTCGTCCTTGAAATAATATGAGAAAACTGAGAACAGAACATCTATTAGAGCGAAAAGTAAAAACCTTCAACCAACACCTATGGCTGTTTTCACACATGTTTAGTATCACTGTATGTAGCTAGAACATAATGGTACATTATATACAGTGTCTGTTAATACACATGCAAAATTAATATCATTGTAAGCCATTTCCCCACCGACAGGATCTGTTTTGCAGCACCTGCTGTGAACCGCAAGAGAATTGCAGTCTCGCTTGACATGAATGATCTCATGGCCAAAATGAAATAGACATTACATCATCATTACATCATTCTTGTACAAAAAACAGTGACACACACACAATGTCTCTAACTGTTTTGAGAGTTGAAATGTTGTGTATTATGAGATAATGGACAAAAAAAGTGAATGAAACTATACAACAACACATTCTTCAACATTATCTTCAACTATGATGATCTTGTCAGGTGATGTACTGGCTACTAAACAGCTGCTCCTACCACTAGTCATAGAGCCAATCTCCACCCACTGTCCATCCACTAGCTGGTGAATGGAGTTGACTGGTGACTCACCTCGCTGCCACCAATGAGTACTAGCTGTCCACAGAGAGTGGCAGCTGTTGAGTATTGCACTGGTAGAGGAGGGAGAGGTTTCCAGGATAGGGTGAGAGGTGATGTGATTGGTTGATCACTGGATGGTAGGGCTGCAAGAGAACACGAGTAGCATTAGCATCAATTCCTATCACATTCAACCGATCACCACATATTGTGGCTGAAGGGTGGCGGAGAGGTTGTGGTAAGTCTGTTAGTTGGTACCATCTTCTGCTCTTCACTTGAAATAGTTCAACTGTAGCAGTCCAACTATACACCACCACACCCCCCCAATCACAATGAGGTAGTCACCATCAGATGTACTAACTACAGCAGTGTAGGAATGTGCAGTGTTCATTGGAGGGTATTTCTCAACCCATTTACTCTGTCGTAGTGTGTATAGTTTGTTAGTACCACGAAATCTATGCTCTCCCCCCACAGCAGTTAGTTCCCTGTCAATGATGACTAGTCCAGAGTGACGACATGGACATGAAGGAAGTTCCTCCCATTTCTCTGTACTACATTCATATTGGTAGACTGATTTGGGGCCAGGGGTGAAGTATGCAAATCGACCATCAGTTGTTGCAGATCCTCTCTCCATTCTACATGGTGCTGGCTTCTTACGATGACACTGCACAGTGAGCTGAGGGGAGATCACATGACATGTAATGACATCATAATCATCAAATCTAGACCTCAGAATGTAACACTATGGCTGCATACATGTGGACAGTTTGCACATGTGTCATGCAAATTGATTGGGCGGAAATAATAATTATCGATTACAGGCAGCTAGTTTACAGGCTCACAATTCACACTGCATACATTCTCTATGGGAGAGAAAACAAGTGCGCGACTTCTCTCTGTCTCTTATGTGTGGCACGACCAGCCTTGCGCGTGGCAACACTCATCTCTCTCAGTGACTCTGGCTGAGTCTCAAATCTGATTATTTTCCACGTGCATACACTTTTTATACGCATGACACGGTAAGATTACGTAATGATAACGCAAACGTGTAAATAGTCTACATACAGCTACGGGTGCTACATACTGTAGAGTACGTGCAACGTGAGTGGCAGTTTGTAGAGCATGTATTCATCAGACTTTTGCAACGCGAATGGCCACACCGCACCTTCTAATCAATTGTGTGTGTGTGTCTACGCTAGAAGGCAGAGAACACCACTGCACAGAATGGCGCGTGGAACCATTTTGTGGATCATGTGCCAGTTGTGCACTGGTATCATCTCATCCCATAGTGTATGTATGTGACACTGGTATCCCCAGTGGATAGTGTATGATACGCATACAACCAGACACCAACACAATCAGTAATTTCTAGGCTGCATTCTAAAGTGCCTCCTCAGATACTCTACCAACCAATACAGTTATCAA